GAACTGTACATGTAATATACATTATGCACTAGAACTAAGCTCAGGGGGTTTGTGATAAGTTTCTGCTTTTTTTTTCACATACTCACCACCATTGTAAAATTAAGTAAAACAAAAGTTGTAATTCTAGAAGTGCCTCAGAAGATCAGATCTATAATTCTGCCTGAAATTTATTAGTGGAGCTGACCAGATTTTTTGATAAGTAGTTCAAGACTTTTTTTAAATGTTTCTTGCTTTAAGACACTATTTTTCTGTGCACGTTTAATGTCTTTCACTCACTAGCAGCTTATAGTGTCTTCTAGAGACAGTATTTTATTTATTTATTCATATTTATTTATTAGATTTTTTTTAAAAAAATCCCACTGTTATTATTTGTATAATTAACTCAAGGTGGTGAACATACTTAATACTCCTTCCTCCTCCTATTCTCCCCATAACAGCAACTCTGTGAGAGGCTGGCTGAGAGAAATGGACAGGCCCAAAGTCACTCAGCCGGCTTTCATGCTTCAGGCAGAACTAGAACTCACAGTCTCCTGATTTCTAGACCAGCACCTTCACTATAACAAACTGGTGACTATATCTATCATGGTATCAAACTAACAGTGATGAGTACAGCAATGGCTGGTTGATGGGTTGAAAGTGATGTAGGTCATCTTCTTTGACTTTAATTAGATTTAAAACTGAATTTTATTCTTCTGCACACATCACTTTCTCTTTTTGTTTTTTGTCTGCTTGTCCTACTTTGGTGTATTAAAGGAATTTAGAATATAAAATTGATAATAGGCACGTGATCATTTGTATTCCGTATCAAAGAAGAAATTTGCTTTAATCATCCATTCCTCCATCCCTCCGTCCACAAGCTAGCAAACAAACAAAAAACATCCCGAAAAGCAGTGCTTCCAGTAGGTTTTGTAATTATAGAAGTGAGAAGTCGAAAAGCTAAATCACTTTAGGATAAGCAGTTCTCTGCAGTCTACAGCCACTGGTAATAGAACTATTGAGGGGAAGCTGATGGGCCTCCTTCAGATTCTAATTATGGAAAATATTATCGAGTATTTGCTGGCTTCAAGTTGAGGAAAATAGTGACCTGAAGCAATGGTGGGATTCATTTTTTTTTACTACCAGTTCTGTGGACGTGGCTTGGTGGGTGTGGCTGTGGAAGGATACTGTAAAATCTCCATTTCCACCCAATTCCTGTGGGAAGTTACCGCCGCTTCTCTGAACCACTAAAAATTTCCGCTACCAGTTCTCCAGAACTGGTCAGAACCTGCTGAATACCACTTCTGGCCTGAAGGCCAAATCTGACCAGCCAAGTTCCTAAATATTATCCTTCTCCTGATTAAGAACAAACAACTTTCAGATGAATGATCATCATATGGGAACAATATGCCTTTGTAAAATAGAGAGAAATTAGGATTCATAGATCTTAAGTTTCAAACATTAACATCTTAACTTGGATCTGATCTAGAATAGAATAGAATAGAGTTGGAAGGGACCTTGGAGGTCTTCAAGTCTAACCCCTGCTTAGGCAGGAAACCCTATACCATTTTACCTAAATGGTTGTCCAATCTCTTTTTAAAAACTTCCAATGTTGGATCATTCACAACTTCTGGAGGCAGATCTAATTTAAGAAGTAGGAGGAGTTCTTCATTGAACAAACTGTAATGTATTTATTTGCTCATTTATATTTAAGCAGACCTTATGGGACACAGCCTTAGCCCCATTGTCTTTCCTTGTATGCACACTTCTTCAGATAATCCCCTTATCCAGTGTGCAAGACTTTCTCCACATCTGAGTTCCTTCAGGCAGAAATCTCTTCTCAACTTCTGCTTTCTTTCCTCACATAGACATTGCTTCACAAGGGTTCAGATCATTGGTCCTTTTTGTGGATACATCAGTGCATTTTCCTTGACAATATTGCAGAAGTGTATTTTTAGTATTTTCTTCTGGGATGCTTTTTGATTTCCCAGTGGATTTCTAAACCCTGGCCTTCTGTGGTGGTCACTTCTGCAAATCCTAGTTAGGCCTATTCCTTAACTTCCCAACCAAATTAAGATTAGTTAGGAAGCACTTTAGTACGTGCTGAGTATGCCTGGATAGTTGGGATTATTTTCTTCTACCCTATCAGTCCAATCATCTCTGTCATTTTGCAGAAATGAAAAAGTTACTGCAAAAGTATTGTGTAATAAATGTAGAGGAAAGTAATTTTGCTTCAGTGCTTCATGTATGCATGCTCACTGAATTTTGCTAATGCTTTCAGTTTTTCAAATGAAGCTCATAGGATAAAATCTGTCTATAGCTTTATTGAGCAGCTATGTTAAAAATATTAACATACTAGAATGTCAGAGACATAATTTAATCTTTCCATTTTGTTGCTTGATTCTTTGTAGAACTTTTCTGATATAATGCACCGATTATGGATTCCCTGACCTTTATCTGTCCTCCCTCCCCCTGAGCAATATGACATCTTGGGTGTTAAGTGGATGACTACCACGCGGTATCCCAGCTACATAAAATAATCATGGCATTTCATTAGAAAGGAATGTCGGTGTCACGATGAGTAAATTAATACAACCCTGGATTCATGTAAAGATGCCTGCAGCTTCTTCCTTTTTTCTCTCTGTATGGTTTTATGGGGAAAGTAGATTGGTCACTCAGTATGAAAACTGAAATATTCTCAATGCAGTTCAGATTAAGGAGAATTTGGACTTTAGGATTAAACAGCTGGACATCAGAAAATGAAAGATTAGATTCCCTAAATGGTATTCCCGTTTAAGAATACCTTTTGGGAATGCCATTAGTGTCTGTTTTTTTTCTTCTCTAAAGTTTTTAATTTTTTTAAAATAAAAATTAAGTTCAATGAATGGGAATGTATATAGCTAAATAACCCATCTGTCACTTTCCTCTGTTAGTCCAAGCAAAAGTGGATACAGAAGGAAAGGAAGCATTAAGCTTTTATAATTTATATGAACACAGAAACATTCAAGTAATCCCCACACAAAATAAAGGGGGCGGGGGAGGAAAGAGAGGAACTGTAGCAGAGAGAAAAGTAGTTCCCTTATAGGCCAGGATCCACTTTTGTATCAGATCAGCAAGGTGCATGCTGTTAAAAGCAAACTTTCATAGTGGGATATGTTACAGATGCACATGAAAACATTGTAAACATTTTTGCAGATTTAGGACTGGGTAGAGCTGTTGCATTAAAATATTATATTTGAAAACTTTACATACACACAGTTGTCCATTGGGAACTGTTGAGAAAGAAGAGATGTTACCACATACCGTATTCTTTGACTTGCCTTAATTATTTAATTTTACTTTTTTAATTACTTGATTTAGGTGTTGCCCAACTACAGAATGACTCTGGGTAGCTCACATTGTGATAAAGAGAATAAAATACAAGTCAAAAAGAGAAAATCAACAAAAACATGATTTATTTATCGTATGGAACATTCACACCACATGTCAATAAAAAGGCAAGAGATAAAAATACAAAACACAAAGCATAAAATCTAAAATAAACATATGTCTAGATTACAGATATAATTTTTTTCTTTATTTGTCACAGCCAGGAAATCAGCAAAGTCCCCATTTTAGGTTCTGTTCTAGTAGGATGACGCTATATGTTGGATAGTTTGTTTTCTGACCCCGCAGTCACAATTCGGTTGATGGTATTTTGCCCACTTATAGAGGGCAGCTGTACATCTACTGTGACGAATGCGAATTCAGTTCAGCATTATCCACATTGCACAGAGCTAATAAAATTCAGGTGGTTTTTCCAAGATAAAAGGCAAACTTTGACAAGAAAAGCTGAAGTTTATTGATAAGTCCCAGCTGTCAATGTTGACTGATGTAGCCTGCCTGGAGCGAAACAAGTTGAGATCCAGACATCCAGCTATTTTTACTGCTAAGGTACTTTTTAACATACACAAAATGTATATGGAAATAACATTGGATAGAAAATTGCTCCCCAACAAAGACAGATAAGAAAAGGATAAGACTAAGATAGTGAATCTAGCTGACAACACAAAAAATTTATATCAGCAAAACTCATAAGGGCTCCAACCATTCTAACTCAGTGCTTAGGACAATAGCCAGGTTTTTAAGGCTCTCTGGAATGCTATCAGGGTGGGAGTTACCCATATTTGATAGGGAACTTTATTCCAGAGGACAGTGCTATATCAGAGAATGCACCAATCTCTTGGGTTCCAAAAAAATGTTTGATTGAAGGGACCTGAAATGTGCCAACACTGTTGGCTTGTGCTGGCTCCAGATATCATAAGAAACAGATGGTCTGTCATGAAGAATTTTATAATCAGCACTTTATATAGTACCCAGAAGCAAACCATGCTCATCATTGCCCATGCTGCTGCATTCTGACCTGTTGAAGCTTCTGAACGTTCTTCAAGGCTAACTCCATGTAGAATGCACTACAGTAGCTGTATTATAAGGTAATCAGAGAATGAATGACTGTCTGAAGAGCCTCCCTATCCAGGAAAAGGCATAACTGGCATATTAGATAAAGCTGTGCAAAGTTCTTGACCACAGCTATCACCTGCTCACCAAGCAGGAGTTATGTGTTCAAATAAGCAATCTCCTCTAGTGTTATCGACTGTAAACTAAACGGGGAAAGTTGAAGAAAGGTGATAATGATTCAGGACTGTTGGTCCAAGAATGGCCTCTTGAGAAGGGGGCATATCTCTGTTTCTTTCAATGTTTTGTCCATGTTTTCATTGTATTTGTCAATGGTTAATCTGTAATGACGTTATTTAAAAGACTTGTTGGTGTCCTGAGAAATTTGCATGGATGTTCTTAAAATTTGGATGATTAAAACCAAACAGTTCTAAAACCTACAAATCCCATCTTTGGAAAACAGAACTGTTACAAAATGCTTTTAAATCTTGATTCTTGAATTTCCAGCTGTTATTTCCTTTTTATCAGTTTCAGAAACCACTGAGCAAAGCCATACCATTTTTTATTTATGACCATTTTTCTTTTTCCAGGCCTTGTCAGCCATGGAACAGTTTCGGAACCTGGATCGTGACATTGAAGGATCTGCCAAGCGCTGGAAGAAGTTTGTGGAGTCTGAATGCCCTGAAAAGGAGAAGTTCCCTCAGGAGTGGAAGAATAAGTCAGCTTTACAGCATCTGTGTATGATGAGAGCACTACGACCTGACCGTATGACTTATGCTGTCCGGTGAGTTCATAAAGTTCTGAGCGATGCCTTAATCAATAGAGTGAAACTCTAAGCTTCTGATGCTAAGTACCCAAGAAATGCCAGATGAATCATATCTCTTGTCCTTCTAGAGTCCCATTTCTGGCTTACAGTGAATCATTTTTAATTCTGCACTGTGATTTCCTCCTCATTTTCCACTTAATCAGAATAGACTTAATAATGTCCATTTATTCGTTACCATTTTCAGCTTTGATTGTCTGAATGGGATGCAAATGATACACAATTTGTTGTCATGGTCTAGTCTGTTTCCTTTCTTCCCCCACGAATAAATCAATACTGGGTGGTTTTCTAATTAAAAAACCCAATTTCCAACATTACAAAAACTCAAAATTAAATAATTATTTTTTTTAAAAAAGCCAGCCAGATATGTTAAATATGAAAAATGTTAAACCACTTTTGAATGTCAGATTAAACAATGTTTATTTTCTACCTAAAAGGAATATTTCTAAATAATATGGAGAGATGGACATCTCTTCAATTCTATTCTCTCAGAATGACTGATTATACAGAAAATTTATTTCTGTGTTTCCAGGTAACACAGACCATAAGAGTTTGCTCAAGATTTGTGAGCCAAATTTTAGCTAGCTTAAGGTCTTGACTAGTGCAAGGCATAATGATGTTCTGATTTATTCTAGTAAGGATATTTTCTATTCACATTAGTTTTGTGTTACTGATACCTGATGGTAATAATTGCATTATCTTTGTCATAAGTCTCTTTGAAAGTATCTTGTACTGCTGGAAAATTATGCTATGTTTCTCTAATGCTCAATTTCCATTTGATTTTTTTAAAATACATGCAAGTAATTTTTCCATACAAGGTAAAAATTTGGGTAGCTTTATACCACAGCATCCCAACTTGATGATCTGATGAATTTGGTCTACAGTTTTAGGGTTTGAATACTTTACTGAGAATTCTTGGACTTGGACCCAAGACAAAAAAAAAGAAAATGTGTACTTTTAAACCAGTTTTGATTCCAGGTCAACCCTCTACAATTTTTGGGGCAATATTTGTTCTTTTTAGAGCTGAGAGTGACTAACCCAAAGTCACCCTGCTTTGAGCCTAGGATTAAACTAAAACCTATAGTCACCTGTTTTCTAGTCTGGTATAGTAACCACTATATCAAGAGGAAAACAACCATGCACCACAGAAACATCTGAGCAGATATTTCTTCAGCAACTTTTAGAATAAAGAACCCTATCAATATATTTTATTCTTAAAAACCATTCAGTCAGAAAAGATCCCTATACAAAATAGAAAATACTGTTTATATCACAACAGTTATGATAGAGACCAGTGTTTCTGAATCTTGGCCACTTTGGCTGGGGAATTCTGGGAGTTGAAGTCCACCCCTCTTAAAATGGCCAGAGATCAGAAACACTGATACAGATACATATCAGAGTGCTTTTAGGAAATGGAGCAGTGGCTAAGTGGCTGGAATCTAGAAGAAGGAGCATCCATCTTACAGTATCCCTGCAGACTCCACTTGTAGAAGAGGAATCATGTCAAAATCCCAAACTTCTTCCCTAATGGTTTATAAATTCTACAGAAATGCTCCCAATAAAATATACATAAACCTTACATTTTGCTAACATGAGCCTCTCTTCAACCATTTAATTAAATCATAACAATTACTACAAAGTTATTTTTCTCCCATGTTGATACTGACCGTTTTGCATTTTGTAAGGTTTTTGAATTGTCCCAGGGGCATTTTATGCAAGTCAAGCATCAAGTTAAAAAAAAAAAAAAAGGATGTCAGTTTAAACAATCGTAATAATTACTGGAACTATCCTGTGCAATCCTCCTTGCACTCTCCTGGCTTATTGCAAAATGAAACTGCTTTTACAGAACAGTTTCCTTTATATCTTCTCATTAAACATTATTGCCTTTCTACAATAATTCCTGTTATTAAAAATGCCAGCAAGGAAAAGAATAGCCCATCCTGGCATCTTCACGACAAGCAGATTTCTGCATTCTTGCACATCCGAGGGCAAGACATATACCTTCTATCTCTCAAATGTTAAAAATAAACTTTTCTGGCACAAGCAAGCCCTGTAATTGATTGTAACATTTTTGTCTGTTATTTCTCTGAGGTTCTGTGAAAAAATAGGGCTTGTAGCATTATTCATCCCTACAGGAAAAAAAAATAAACAAATAAATAAGTAATAATACCAAGAAGCCAGTTGCTGTTTTATTATTTAATAAAACAGGTTTAGCAATATACAGGCAGGCACACAACAATGGTACAAGAGAAAAGCAAAATGTTGTTGCTCCACCAGGATTTCTTTGTTGTTTTAACACATTGCTTCCAGAATCTTTTCCTTTATTACTCAAAACCAATGATCAGAAGGTCCTTATTTAAATATTGTGATTGGGTAATGGATTTGTGTGTTGTTATCCAAAGAAAAAACATCTTTACCGATTTTGGGTAATTTTGCCAAGTTTGGGAAACAATGGTTTAACAGTTTAGTCATCTGTTGGATATCAGATTATGTCCCTGGACTCAAAGATTTTAATTTGATTTTCAGCAGCTGCGTGATTATAGTAGAAAAACAATCCCATACTCATGAATTAAAGAATCACAAAATCTGGAAAATCAATCATCTAATTCAGCCTTTCTCACAAGGAAGGAATATCTGATGATCTTGCCCAGCCTTTTCTTCAAAATCATTTTGAACGCGTCTAACATAGAGGATTTATCAGTGGGTTTTCAACCTTGACATCTGCAGTAAAATAATTTCTCTTTCATGTTATTAGCATCACTTTTTGTAGATCGTGTCGAAGCTGTGGAGTTTGTTTGGAAAAATGGGAAACCCAGAACATCTCATGGTCCCAATGTAAAACTTATGGACAGATTAGGAAGTCACAATATCAACTGAAATGTTGAAACAAACTGGCTCCAGACTGGCAAAGGAGTAAGACAAAGTTGTATACTCTGCCCTTACTTACTCCTCTTCTCCTCTCGTCTTATGTTTGGATAGGAAAATGAGTGTGATTTTAAAACTAGAGGGAGAAACGTCAATAAATTCACAATGTTGATGACATTATTCTGAATGATGAAAATGCAAATGACATGGAACTGTTATAATGAAAGCCAAGAAGCATAGGGAAAAATGGGAATGAAATTAAATATGAGAACCACAACAAACAGACTTAGAAGTGACAATGAAGATATCAAAATAGTGGATTAACTATTAAGGTACAATAGTCAAGAAATACAATGCAGACCAGCACTTGGTAGTACATCAATGAAGGAAAAGGTATTAATTTCCGATATGATGCTTTATGGAAAGAAAAGCTGGACTTTAAAGAATAAAACAGAATGACTATTGATGGTTTGGAACTTTGGTGTTGGAGAAGATTCCATGGATAGAAGGTGGTTTTCTAGCAATGGTCCTTAGGAAGGGAGTGGAACTAAGAAGCTGCATTTATTTGGTATTCTTTTTAAACATATTTTAAAAATATTGCCTGCATACATGACTTAATTCTTGAGAAAATATAGATTTTATGGCACCACCAATAGCTGTCTTTTTCTAAATCATGACTAAGGGTAATGATGGTAGATTGCATACGAGACTGGATAGCAAATATATTGCAATATAAGCATGTTCTTTACCATTTCCTGACTTAGTCTCTGATGGTTCTCCACACCATTTTAGCAATAGTAGCAGTGGTGGGATGCAAACTTTTTTACTACTGGTTCTGTGGACGTGCCTAACACGCTCTTTGCACAAATGCGGAGCGTTAATTGGGCAATTTTAAGCTTGAAAACTTAAGTTACTGTCAGCACTGGTGAGTAAAACAGCTGAGGCATGTCAATCCTCTGTGCCATGTGAATCAGCTGAGCTACAAACAAATAAAATATAGGACAGAAAAGGGTGGGGATGAGTTGGTGGGGCCACCTGTTGACTGGCGCTACCGGATCGCTAGAACCGGTGCGAACTGGCAGCATACCACCACAGAATAGCAGTAAGCACTTATACCAGGGGTGGGATTCAAATTTTTTAACAACTGGTTCTGTGGGTGTGGGCATGGCTTGGTGGTCATGTGACTGGCTGAGCATGGCCAATTCAACATCACTCACATTTAGGCATGCACCTCCTTGCCTGGCCTCTCATGACTGTGGGGATGCTGCAGCAGTTGTAAGTGTGAAAAACGGTCATAAGTCACTTTTTTCAATGCCATTGAAACTTTGAATGTCACTCCACACAAGCAAAGTACCAGCAAAGGAGGAAAAAAAAAACCTCCATAGATTTCCTGAGACAGGAAGTCTAGTCCTGCCAAGAATGTAATAAGGATTAACGGAGAGGCAGTTTCTGTAAGCAACACTGGAATGTTTCCTTCCTGCCTTCCTTACAGGATTAGGCCAGTAATTTCTTCTAACAACCAGGTCTCCCAACTGCTTAGAATGTTAACAACTGGTTCTAGCGAATAGGTGCGAACCTGTAGAATCCCACCCCTGACTTATATACTGCTTCACAGTACTTTAGGAGCCCTCTAAGCAGTTTATAGAATCAGCATATTGCCCTCAACAATCTGAGTCCTCATTTTTCCGACTTCGGAAGGATGGAAGGCTGAGTCAACCCTGAGCCTGATGACATTCGAACTGCCAAATTGCAGTCAGCCAGCAGTCAGAAATAGCCTTCAATATTGCATTCTAACCACTGCGCCACTGAGGCTCTTAAAGTTTAAGTATCTTGCATTCAATGCATCTAAAGTTTTAATAGTTTTAATAATTTGGGTAGTTTGTAGCAATAAACAATAACAATATTGGTGCCACAGTATTGGCGACATTAAGACATCTTATTAAAACCATAAATATTTCTTGTTTAAAATACATTTTCATTATTTTCATAAGATGGATGAAGTGGAGCTTTTTGCAATCTTGAGCTTTCTGGAAATCTAACCTTTCTCAAGGGCAGAGCATATGATTGGTCAATGCAATGCTTAAGAAAAAAATCATTCACTTTTCTCTCTGGGACCTCAAGTCAATATTCTCTTTCAGTATTGCCAGCTGGCATATTAGGTGAATAAGCTGGCACTTCTTCCACATCTTACTTTTTTTTTCTGTTACTGGATTTGGGAGGTAGAGATATTCAGTCTTCAGTCTAGGGTAAGTAATTCTCATATCTTATAGTTAATTTGTTTCCTTAATTTAATAAACACATTGTAATTGCCACATATAATTCTTTAGCAATCTATTCCAACAGGGATTTTGTGGAAGAAAAGCTTGGGAGCAAATATGTGGCAGGACGATCTCTGGATTTTGCAACCTCCTATGAAGAGTCAGGACCTGCGACCCCCATGTTCTTTATCCTCTCACCTGGAGTGGATCCTTTGAAAGATGTAGAGAAACATGGTAAATACAGTGCATCGGAAGCCAAATGACACTACTGCATATGAACTTGCTTTATCAAAAGCAAACAAATAAAATCCCCTTTCTTTGTTGGTTCCAGGGAGAGGCATCTTTTCAGTTTAGCACACTGCCACAAACGCCATAATCTTATACTTTATTTATACCTCCATTTTTTCTCCCTTCTGCTTAAATACCTGGCACATCAGTCCTATTTTCACATCTCTCCACTGACTGTTGAATTGTGATTAGCAGCCCAAAACAGAGCCTGCTGCAACCTCTGTTTTGACTGGGTGTGAGAAGACCACTGATAACAGAGATCTACATAAAGTAATTGTATTAGGAACTCCTGAGTGAATAATCCCAAAGGGAAAACTTTTCCTGATTCTAAGAGTCCGAGATACAGATGGACCAGATTTCTTAGGATGGGGTTTGCTATGTGGTTATGATGAAAGAGCTGTGATGTGAATGTCTTATATCCCCTTTTGGGGAAATTTGCCATAAAAACATAATAGAAATCTTTTTTTTTAAAAAATGATCAAGACTCAAGATGTTTTGAATGCTACCTGAACAAAATCAAACACCCTCATAAAGATATGAAAAAGGATGAATCGAAGAGCTGCAAAATGTAGGCTGAGATAGGCTATATCCACCTGGATTTCAGTTTGATCTAGTATGTGCAATCATATGTTTATCTCACTCCTATGAAAGATACGACATCGAGAAACTTACTGGATTTTGACTCAATGCAAAGGCAGCATGCTTGTATGCAAGCCATGTTATCAAAAAGATTAGGAAGCCTTTGAGGTTAGCATCCATTGTGCAGACTTGGAAAATGGATTTTTATTTGTAGACCCTGTGGGTCATGATAATCCATTAATATGCAACACACAACAAGAGTTACAGCCTTCCCTTTGTTGTTTGTTGAACTCACAACTTGTACCTCTGAAAATAATCACAGTTTTTACACTGAGCACTGGTGTTGGCATGCTGTCTTGGATGGGAATATATGCCAATTGGAGTATGCAGGATACAGATGGATTTGCATCATAAATCTTTGCCGTTGTATATTTTAGATGTGTGAAAGAATCCCATGGCTTATTCCCACATTTTTCTCTCTGGACCAATATAGATCCAGATGTCAACATCTGGTTTTGATGTATGAATTGTTAGTTCAACTGCAGTATAGACATTGAGCTTTTTGTTATTTTAATTGGAACGATCTAATGCACATCTGATTGCACTGCAACTCCTAAGAGCATGCGTCTAAATAGAGAAAAGCTCATTAGAAGTGTCTGCAGCAGTTAATTACAGAAAGCTGTGTTTGTTCCTCACCTGTACAGAATATTGTTTTTCTTACCTTTGTAGCAATTCTGAATTGTCAGTAGCAAAAATCCCAAAGACATCTTGGATTGTTCTAAAATCCCTTGCGTATATAGTGCATTACACTTGGACTCACTTGTTCTCCATTTGACCCATGGCAAGTTGGACTGCCAGTGAAGCATCGGACAGAAGGCAGATCCACACTTTCTGCTTGGCTTCCAATCCCAGCCCACTGCAAATACATCAGCACCAGTGTCTTCCAGTTTTGATCCAAAACTTCTCTTTTCTGACCCAAGCTCTCTTAAGCCCTTTAAGTGGATAGCTTCTGTGGCATTTTAGTAGCAACCAGAGATCCAATTGGCTGTGGTGCTTAGTTTATCCCTTCCCTCCAGTGGCAAGTCACTGTGGATCAACAATTAATAACTATTTTTAAAAATATGTAACTGTACATATATCTCTAAAAGAAAGCACACGATCTCTGTGCTTTTTTTCACCCCTTGCCTTCCCACCTCACCCTGCCCATCATTTTCCTACAGTACCTCCTTACTGGAAAGTTGCCATTATCTTACAAAGGGATACAGGTGCAAAATAACTTCCAATTTCTTATTCCTTTCATTACTGTAGCACCAGAGCAACAATTGCACAGTAAGTGGAGGGAAAAAGTTTTTTTTTTTAAAAAAAAAAGGTCTGTGTAGAATAAAAGGAGTTACTGTGGGAACTGGGGTACGAAAACTTTCATGCACAAATATTGAAGGAAAGGTGAAGAGATTTGTGAGGATGGAACAGTCCTTAAAGACTGTTAGGAAAGACTACCTGGGAGTTATTTAAAGTGGCTTGCCTTCTTTGCATGGATGGGAGGACCAAGAAGCAAGGGAATAGCTATTCAGGCCCCATAGCCAACTCACAGCACGGTGCCTTAAGAATCATCCAGGATCACCATGGGAGATTAATCATTTTAGGAGGCAGGGCAATATTGTTCCCAAACACAATCTCAATCTATGAAGATAGAAAGTACTATTTGTAGTAGTGCACGTGGGGAATTAAACAGCAGATTTTGCCATGAGGCTTAGTCATTAGACTTTACATAGGAAGAGAAATGGGGGAGGATTAACACCCCCACACACCCATATTTGTTGTGCACTGTGATCCTAGGTAGGATCAGCCTGCACTCAAGGTAGTAGATTTGGTACAAAGCTAAATCTGTGGCTGCCAATCCACTGCGAGTTGCTGGCCCTGTTTTTCTCTGGATTGAAATATTTACTTTCTCCTTTCAGGAAAGAAACTTGGCTACACATTTAACAACCGGAATTTCCATAATGTCTCACTGGGGCAAGGTCAAGAGATAGTAGCAGAACAAGCCCTCGACCTGGCAGCAGCAGAAGGACACTGGGTTATCTTGCAGGTCTGTGTACTCTTTTGGTTTGGGAAAAAAGGTCTCTTGCCTGCCTTCAAGCCATCTGTTATCCAGAGAGGTGAAAGCAGGAGCAATTGGGAATAGAACAAATCACTCTTTGACAAATCTCCCAGTCTTCCACTACCTAGAACTCTGTAGAAATACCAGCCAGTGTGACCATTATGTGGGTGACTAAGAATCATGGAGTTTGCAGACTAAAAAAGCCATCTGGATGGTGCTCTTGTGGGAAAAGCTGCTGTTTATTTAGTTTTACCTCAGTACATTTAATCTGCAAATTGGTGTAATGGCTAACTTCTTCAGAAAGGGCTACATAGCCCATGGAAACAAAGCCACTGGTTGAACTCTTCTTTTGCTGCTGTGGCCTTGGGGAGGATTTGAAGGTTTATATTCTTCATTCCAAAATGACAAGCAGGATTCCTACCCACCTACTTACATTGCTGAATGTAGAATTCACGTTCTAATGCCTGATAAGACTATGTATACTCTTTTATTATGTATAAGTGTGTGTGTGTGTGTGTGTGTAGGAAAAGATATATCAAGCTGAGTTTCAATTCTTTGTCAAGAATTGTTGAATTTAGCTGTGCATATTCTGCATATTTTTCATTTTTCTGGCATCTGCCTAGGAGAGAGAGCAGTGTGAAATGTACCCTGAAGCTGTGCCCTCTGATCCATGAAAATTCTTCTCCTGTCACCATTTATTGTTTTGGCATATCATAAGGCATGATTGATTGATCTATCTATCTATCTATCTATCTATCTATCTATCTATCTATCTATCTATCTAT